TGCTCATAGGTTTTAATACACGAGCGCTTTAGTTTTTTCTGAAACAGGATTAATAATTTTAATGAGAACTGTGAAAATTTTATAAAAAATTCTTTTACTGCCTTAAACAATTCTACGTCTTTAGAATGCGCTTTTATATGAAAAACGCCATAAATAAAGGATACAACAAAATTATGTAGCGTTGATAAACCATACACAGTTTTCACAAGTACAATCAAACACAATATATTTAATCCAATTCATTCACGAGGCCGTAGATTAATTTATAACAAAATAAAAATACAGAAGTATAAAACTAAGCATAAAGTCATACCCACAGGTAAAATGATGATAACTTAAATTGAGTTTTATTATTATGATTAAAAAAAAATACTGTTCACAATGTTTTTGAAGTTATTTTGTCTCGCCAGAAACACGTCTACATCACTTGAATAATTCGTGTTAAAGTTTTGAGTTACTCTATTAAAGTAGGAATTCTGTCTATAATTTGTCGAACATAAATTAGTATGGAACCTATATGGTACCTGGATTATAACCAATGATAAAAGTTCATTGCTGTCTGTCTTACTGAGATTTAAGTTGTGGGAAAACGTTAGGTCCGCAGCTCCCTACGCTTGCTTATTGGAAGAAGATGATGTCGTTGGCAGTCAACAGTATAGTTTGGACTTGGGCTTAACCCAAAATCTGAAGTGTAAAAAACCTTATGAACTGTTTTAGATCTTTTCTAATTGGTTATTAAAACAATCATAGTGAGGATTCCAGATCTGACATGCATATTCCAGGTAGCTTCTCACCAAAGAGCAATATATATATTTTTTTAATGATTTTGGTATTTTACAATCTTTGGTTGATCTGAAGAAAACTCTAAGATTTTCATGGCTTTTGAATTGGACATTCAGTTTGATTATTACCAAACGTTTACTGTATAATATGATAAAAAAATATCATAATCTTTATGTAATGATTTGTATCTCTGCATCTTTTTATGATGACATTTACATGTACATGAGTGTATCAGCAACTAATAAGGTAAACCTCCGGATTTACCTTACAAAAAGCCTAATTCAAAATTCGAAACGCAAGTGAATCTACATAAAACTGAGCACGATGTAACAATGGGCATATCTTTAGTATTCACCTGTCGAGGGGCAGTAATTCCATTCAAGCTGAAGTACACAGAACCAGTGCCATCCACGACCGGACTTTTGCGGATACACAACAAAGGCTGTCGTTTTTTTCGAGCGCCTAACATAAAGTCCAAATCAATGGTTAGCACGGTTCACTTTTGTTATTGCTCCTATTATATTCTGGACGCTTGCTCGCAGCCTATTCGAGGCTTTTGACCACGGTACCAGCCACCGCGCTTGCTTGCAGAGGTTTCCAAATAAAAATTCATTCATGGCCGTACACGGCTAACGTTAGTACGAGGAGATGTTTTTTCGCTTTTTACGAAATCGCCATTGCTGCCACCAGAACAATGTTTCTTACGGTCAATTTTGAAATAAGTTTTATCTGTTATTATTTTCCCGTTTACGGATGACTATGTTTGGAAAAAAAAATAGTAAGTACATACCACTGTATTATGTACTTAATAATGTTTTTTTTAATATTGAATATTTACAGTAATCTTTAAATGAAAACCAGCTGCTATAATTGAGGCAGTTTACGAACGAACAAAGAAGTTTCGCAAACCATTTGCAACATGTAAACTTTTGTAGCGTGACCTTAATTCAACGTCGATAAGGTGAATTATATATAATCTAGGGAGTTATTTCATTTACATTTCGCTAACCTCGAAAGTAATATAGATAAATCAATGAATAATAATCAAACACAACTAAGAAATACCTAATACTAAATTATAGGGATAATTTACTATCTACTTGTTCTACTAGTATAATCAATGTGAATGTTTGTATGTCTGTTACTTTACACGCAAAAACAACTGAACGGATTTAGTTAAAATTTTGCTCACGTATAGTTTATTACCTGGATTGAGACATAGGATACTTTATAACTCGAAAAAATTATATTTCCCGAGAGATACTCTTAAAATCAAGATAAACGCGGAGGAAGTCTCAGGCAGTCGCTAGTATGATATGAACTACAACACAATATCGAACATCAGAAAGCCAAGAAAGATTATAAAAGATCACTGCTTCGTTCTTAGGTAGCCTTAAGGACAAGTATGACATTCGCCGTAGACAGTACATCTTAGTCTGCGAAATAAAGCAAGCCTGGATGCTTATTGTATCGCTGACAGCAAAGCCGTGGTGCGCCATTGTCGAGCTCCTTCGAAGAAATATAATAGCGACTTAGTTGATCCAAGGAGCTACAATACGTTGTCATTATTTCGCCAAAAAGCCTCCCTTTTCTCCCTGTTTTAAAATTGCGTAGAAGAGCATCATTTAATAATATTTCACCTACTTATATATCAATAAAAAAATATAATTATATTAAACTGTCAGATGAATAAATTAATTCAATTTCAAGTTCTCTTAACAGTTACTCAAATCTGACAAAATTCTCAAATTTACTTTGACCTTTATATCACTTGATGTAAGATTCACATTCTGTTGAAAAAAATTTGGTAGTGGTAACTTGATATGTTACTTTCTGTACCTGATTAATATTTTATTGAATCATATTTAATCTTAGGCAGTCAGGAAACAGGATCGGCACCTACACCTTTCGGTGCCCGAACGAATGCACTTCCGAAGCTCTGACTACCGTCAGCCGGCATACGGCCGTAGAGAAAATGGAAATTCTCTTTAGGTCTTTTTACGTCCACTGTTATCCTAGGAAATCAGAGCTTTCTTAGGTTAACGAAAATAATGGACATTTTGAATTTTAATTATGCAAGTATGTATTTGCCTGGGCAGTGAAAGGACCAGGTTCTGATCCTACCTAATACCTGAGACAACATATTTAATCATAAAATTTTCAATGGCCTTGAATGGCTTTGTCCTTATCAAAATATCAAATAAAATTATGTATGTTCTCTTGCACATTAAATAATTTGTTATATGTGATTCTTATCTGGAATCGACTGGAATTAATTAAGATATACATAGTTAAAAATATCAGAATAGTCAAGACAAGAAATTATCAGTATAGGCAAAAAGTTTTTAAGCCAAGCTAAAATTATAGGTACTTTAATTTTTAACAAAATACAATGAAAACTATGTATTTGCTACCACAGTAAATAAATAAATACACAAAGAACTGTTCTACAAGTTCCCTTTGTGTGCTTATCCTTGTGCAAATATTTTCAAATAAAAACGTGCACAAAGCAAGTTTGGTTAGTGCAACGGTTTCAGTTCTGCCAGACGCGAAGCATAATTCGTATCTATTTTTAAAGGATTCGCACAGGATTTCACTGACTCGAGGCTAATGAAGTGTACCACGAACACTTTACCCGTGTCAGGCTGTCAAAAACACGTCACACTCACGTGATTCGTTTTTGTTTTATTTTTAAGAGGTTTCGACGTCAATCGCTATTAGGACGAGTTCATGATGCGGGCAGAATCCCAAACCCAAACGCTGTTATGTTTTGCGGATCTCACTTACTCCTTTAACACAACCTTCGTGGCGAGGCTGTCACTTCGAATAACGAATGAAAAAGGTCCAAAAGTAGAGGGTGAGAACATAATACTACACTAATTTGTGTGTTACCTACCGGGAAACAGTTTGTATATTGTGATATGGTGTCACGTCGTATTAGCATCAACTCGGCGCCGGCGTAGCGCAAGTTTCCAATTTCCAAGAAGTGTTTTACTTGACGCCATCAGATACCATCTTTTTTGAGAACAGTTTGCTTCCACATAGTGTCACTTGCGCAATTTTATGGTATTAAAAAGAACAGTTACTTCCTTTTTCGTTATTAAGAAGAACAATTATTTCCTTTATCGATATCCTTCCCTTGTGTCAGTGTAATGACTATTATAGTTCAGACAGGAAATGATAAGTCAATTTGAAATATGGGTCAATAACCAAAGGGAAAGGGACACTGAATGTTATTGTTGTTCCGCTTAATGATAGCTATTTATTTTTCAATTGTACCATAATTTGAATAATAACATGCTCACGTTAATTAAGTTGTATCATTATGAGCGCTCTATAACAAGCAATTCAATAGAGGCAGATGGTTTCATTGTGGGGATTATGGAGTGCAACAAAAAAATAACCGAGACGCAACATGGCATGTAAAAAAAACAACCGAAATTTTGCAGCACACGTTAGACTAGCACCGCTACCTGCTACTTTGTGACATCTTGACGTAGGGATGCCGCTTGCATCTTTTATTACCTTGAGAACTCCAGAGACTGCACACATGGAAACTAAGGAACGTGTGTCACATTTTTCTTTGCTACGTAAATGTAACTTAAACTAACTTCAAAAAAAAATTTTTTTAAAACTTTTCACTATAATGCTCAATTCGTGAAACTAATAATGCATTCAATTGCAGATCTAATTTAGATACGTTGCAATGATCAAGTGGCAGCCCTGAAAGCTTCATCTGCCACTTGAACGATCGAAAGGTACGACGGCGCGCCGGTATCAGGAAGGAATGTACAGTGGGTGACTTGAACACTCCCCGTCCCTTTCCCGCTCGACCGGCATCTCCTAAGCCCAATTTTCACGCCGTCTCATTCGTGCACACCGACGTTTTCAATACTTACCTGCGTAAAATGATATACATCTGTTGCGGTGTCGGTTCTCGCTCGCTCTCGGTCCCCGGAATGCATTGTTGATATACGCGTCCCGCTCTAAGGTCTCATGAACAGGGGGTAGACGGTGTTGGCACGCGCTTGTGTTGGTGTTCGTTTATTTAGTGAACTTGGAAGCTCGCTGTCGTGTTTGTGCATAGGGTGTTGGGAGTTGTCGGTGTGCGTGAGTCGTAGAGGCGCGACATAGCTTTGCCGTCTCCATGACTTAAAAGTTTTGTTCGGAATGAGACCAGCGAGCTAGTTGTGCGCCGGACGGCACGCCGAAGGGACGTTTGTGCCACGCTCGCGTCAAACTTCTTCGTGACGCTACGAGTTCTAAAACTTGTTTCATAGAAAACAACATTGGAAGTTGATAACATACTACATCGTTTCAACGAACATTATAAGCCTCTGTTGTTAAAAGTGATTATCGTATACATTATCATTGTGTGTTATTTGTTTTTTTTTTGTGAAACTGCAACGTGTTTGGTTCAACGGACTACGGAGGAGGTTGGTCGTTGCACCATTCTCTTGTATAGGCCATTGTGTATACAAATAACTCCGGCATAGTTTATAGTTAACAACCAATAAAAAGAATCAAAGTTATCCTTTGAAATACATTTCATCGTTTCGTTTTAAGCCGGCATTTGATAGTATCGTGCTGCTAGTCTATTTGAATCACACCGACAAACGTAAAATGTAAAAATACAATAAGGTAATAACAGTACAATTGAAATAACAACACAATAAACGATGAAAATATTGAAATTTGGATCATTCCAATATCAAATCAAATATTAAATCTGTATCACCCTAAATTAAAAAGCTTGAAATTGGTGTATATTTTGTTAACAATACCTAACATTATAAACACTATTAAGAAATGATGTTTAAGACCTAAATATCAACATGAAAATTGGAGACACGAAAAATAATTCATAAGCCAAAGGTGATGTGTATTCTGGGCCAAAGAGATAGGATCAACTTAAATCCCTAATGTTAACATCAGAGACTCGGTAGAGAGTTGAACAACCTTAGTATATAAATAGACAGACATACTGTACAAACAGAAGTCGCCGGTAAAGTAGAATTAATTTCGAATAACATGGGGACATGATGTTAAAGCGGCAAATGTGTCTTATCAAAATGTATTTAATATTTTATGTCTATGAAGAAATACAAGTAGAATAGCCAATTAACTTTAAACTGAATTAATCAGAAAAATATCACTGTAAAAGTAAAATGCTATTTACTCAACCAAGATCACACTAAAATATTTGAAAATTATGACTGAATGTACATTGAAAAATATATTAATGCCTCCATTATTATTCTTATACCATGACCATTGAAAAGTTTTTTTATTAAAATACAATTATTTACATGTTTTTTTTTCAATTTATTTATTAATTAATTTGCATACAATAAAAACATCATTACAGCACAAAAACCTTAATGATTTATCTATGCTGCAAAGTCGCTCCACAGCCAGTCACACCAAACAGCCTGTCTGGTTTTCCAAATAATATTCTTTTAACATTTTAATAAATGTTAAAAGAATATTTTTTGTATGTTATGGTAACTTACCATTAATTTAATCATTACGTAGATTCGTAAAATTTTACAGCTGGTTATAAGAAATATCTTCAAGGAAGGTTTTAAGAAACTATATTCTTAAAAATATATTCAGTAGGTATCATGTTTCTAACTCAATTTTCCATATCCGAAATATTAAGTGCAATTCCTTTATATACTTATTATGTTAAAAATTCACATAGATTTTTTTTAATGCATTGAGTGACAATATCTAATAATGAAAATGCAAATGCTAATTATATTCTTGCATTTTCTCAATAAAAGTAATGAATGACTTTCCTTTTATACTGATGCTATTACTGTACTTTTATTCTGGATATTGTTTCTAAAAAAATACATATTATAAATAAAGCAAATCTTTTTATCTCAAAATTCTAATTAGCTTACCTTACGAGAAATTTCACTTTGCAATCACATTTTATGGATGTATCATTATAACTGTTCTAGCTAGTACTGTTCATATTCAAACTACACACATCAAAAGTGTCTAGGGATCAAGCATTTTTATGCGGATTTCTTGAGATTGAGATGTGGCTTTGTAATAAATTTATGATTTTATAAATTTATATGGATCCTTTTTGGTGCATTTCATAATTTGAATCAGGAACTGTGAATCAAATTCGAGTAAAAGATGAAAATCAGCTGTCAATATTTTCCCTATAAAAACATACAACGCATTGAAGACATTATTAGTGCTACTGTTTCCCTACTACTGATTAAAACCAACGTTATTATGGAGCGGCGACGTCATTTAAGCAGGGAAGAAATGCTCAGAGCCGTGGGAATGATAGAAGCTGGTTCCCGGCAACGTACTGTGGCTTTAGCTCTGAATACAAGTCAGAGTGTTATCAGTCGACTTTGGACACGATACCGAAGCACTGGTACCGTGGCTGAGCGCCATGGAGGACGGTATCGCTGCACCACACGGAGACAAGACCGATACATTCAAATCTTAACTCGAAGAGCTCCAACAATAACCGCCATGATGTTAGCCGTGAGGCTTCATCACTCTTCAGGGAACTTAATTAGCGACCAAACAGTCAGAAACCGCTTGCATGAAGTGAACCTTCATTCCCGAAGACCGCTACGGGTACCACCTATAGCATGCACAATCGTAGGATTCGATATCAATGGGCTCTTGAACACAGAAATTGGGCAGAAGAACAATGGCGTTTCGTGTGCTTTTCTGATGAGTCTCGTTTTGGTATGAGACCGGATACAAGACGTATACGACACTGGAGAACCCCTGGACGCCAACAGCGATTAAAATCCTGCCAGGAAGTCCATCCTTATAGTGGTGGAACCATCATGGTATGGGCGGGTATTTGGATCGGCGGAAGAACTGAGTTGATTTGGATCAGAGGCAACCTCAACGCTCAAATTTATGCTGAGACGATTGTATCAGACGTCATCGTTCCTCTACAAGTGCAAATCGGTCCCTTATTTCAGTTAATGCATGATAATGCACGACCGCACACCGCAAGAGTTGTAAGACAGACTCTCGCCGCAGCTAACATCAATGTCCTGCCCTGGCCTGCTCAGTCGCCAGACTTGAACCCGATTGAGCATGCATGGGATATGCTACAGAGAAGAGCTCTGCCGAATATGGAGGGTATCCAGTCGCAAGAAGACCTTTTTTTGTTGTTGCAACGAACATGGGCGGCCATTCCACAGCGTGATTTGGATGAACTCATTTTGAGTATGCCAAACCGATGTTCTTGTGTTGTTAGTGTTCGCGGTAGAAATACGGATTATTAATTGTTTAAGTTACCCAATAAAATTTTAGAGAAAACTGTTATTTCAGTCTTTTTTTCGAACTTTTGTGTTAGTGGTTCAAATGTCAAAAATCCCTTTATTAGGAAAATGGCAAATTTCTTTATTAATGCAAAGGTGACTTGGTTTATCGTTACTGTGACAAACGAAAACACTTTATTTGATGAATCCCTAAAGAAAATTTTAATTAATATCAATCAGGAGAAAAGTTATTGCAAAAATATATGTTGATCCCTAGACACTTTTGATGTGTGTAGTTAAACAGCAATTTTCATTTACAAATTTGAAATTCATATGTCTATAATTCCCTATTTTAAATCAACGTAAAGTGTGTTAAACGCGATGATACTCAGCTAATAAAATTACGCCAAAGAATCACATAATATTATTTTTGACAAAATAATGAACATTATAATATTATATAAAAGATATTTCTATGAGACCTATTATTGAGAGAAACATAGTAATATAAATATTTAAAATATATCAGTCTGACTAATGTTATCACAAAAAGAAGAGCTAATGATATAGATATTTTTTCTATTAAAGTTACAAAATCTCTGATACAGATGCAAAAAATCCTTTTTGGATTAAATCCCAATATTTTAATTACCGTAAACGCAAGGCTGCAAAACAAGCTGCGAAAAATAACAACCAAAATAAACAACGACAATACGAGAAACGTCGAAAAGGCAATTGCATTCCAGGAAGTTCGTAAAAGCCTCCCAAAAGTTCGCCCTACAGATATCAAAGTGGTCATAACGTCCCCCCTTGCGTAACATCCAAGAATCACCTCTCCCACATTGTAGTTCCTTGTCTTAAACAATTGATATCTCTATTTGTATCAATAATACCTACTGCCAGACTTTTACGTGTATTCCGTACGTGAGCAGCGTCTTATAGTATGACTTCCCCACTACCTTTGTACATCATATTTATTAAAACTATTGACGGTGGAAATCTTTGTTCAAGATTTCCTTCCCCCTGCGTATTGGAGCTTGTTAAGGTTTCATTATGAAATGGTTCAAACGTGAGTCTGATCAGTAATCTTTTGTTATATACTTCTGGGCTCTGACATAGTTCCGTTATATGTAATAACCAATTTCTTAATGATTTGCCGATTGATGTCATTAAACTAACTATATTTTATCTAGATATTTTATACAGTAACTTAATAATGTTAAATGTTTAGCTGATCCGTCACGCTGTTCTCTAAATAAGAACAACCTGGGAACAAACATCGACAGTAAGTATTTCGAGTGATTTAAGAATTTAGCAAGATCAATGCAATATGGCACATTAAAGTATACATTATTCTTTCGCTTACTACTCATAAGAGTAGTAAATTATAATCCTAATAATATTAGAATAAAATGAGGAGCTCGTTGGTGGTGGTTGGTAGTGGCAACATTGGTGATGGCCGGTCATAAGATTGACCAAAAATTTCCCGTGCTTCGAAAGGCACATATAATGCCTTTGGTTCCGGCTGCATCTACTTTCATTTACATCCACTAATCCACCTGCTCCCGGGTGATGGTTACAGCTTAATCTACTTATTCCATCTATAAGAAAAAGCCCCAGTAGTAGGGTCATTAAAATTCTGATGATGATGAAATTATAAATTGTTACGTTTGTGTATTATTTGACTCACAAAGATGGTAAGACTGTGTTTGGATGTTAGCATACATATAGCTCAATTACCTTGGTTAGGGTATTGGATACTTTATATCCAGGAAAAACTATGTCGACCTATCCACGTGTTGGTCCACGGATGGATTATCGGAAATTTTATCCCAATCAGTATTTTTTGATTCCAAAGTCCACACAAACGAAGTCGCGGACATAACAAGTGGACAAAACTATATCATTACTAACTGTCCTAGCAAACTTTGTACTGCCGTAAAAATAGGGGTTTGTGGTACAATTTTGGGTAGCGCGTATATTTAATGCGGAATTACAAAAAAAAATGGGTCGAACCACTTATGAATATGAAAAACAGTTTATTCTCTGACCAATTAAATATACGCACAAAATTTCATAAGAATCCGCCAAGCCGATTCGGAGGAGTTTTGGTACAAATACTGTGACACGACAATTTTATTTAAGAGATTACCTGCCTCGACTATAAACTTAATCCGCGT